GCTGGTGCCCTAACCACTGAACTACAGGCACTGAGCCTAAAGCTCTTCTTTTATAGCCCAGTCACCTGAGACTCTAACTCATTACTCACACTCTCAGGGATAGTGCAATTCCAGTACTGTTATTCTCTGCTGACATTAAATTAAAAAATGTTAAAATATATTTAGGAGAGTAGAATCTGACATTTAAATCACAAAATACAAGACCTTTTGCATATAGTAGAACCTCCATAGCTGACCACCTCCCTACAACGACCACCTTCTTAAGTTGACGTAATTAGTTCATAGCTAGGACATGCACATGTACGTATCAGTACAATATGCCTAGTTCCTTATACTGACCACCTCGGTATGTTGACCAGTTTATTACCTTCTCTTGGGTGGTCAACTTATAGAGGTTCTACTGTATTCAGCAAATGAATATATTGGTTGATACATACGCAGTTAAGCACGTATGAAGGTCCTGAGTAAATACTCACAAAGTGCTGCCAAAGTAAACTAATTTCTAACATCTTGCACGTCTATGTGCACTATTCACAACAGCAAAGATACGGAATAAAACTAAGTGTCCATCAAGGGATCATTAGATAAAATGTGGTATATACACACAACAGAATACCATCCATCCACAAAAAAAGAAGGAAATCATGTCTTCTGCTGCAAATGGATAGAACTGGAGGCCATTATCTTAATAAGTCAGACACAGAAAAACAAAGACCCCAAGTTCTTACTTATAAAGGGGGAGTAAAGTGTGTACATGGATGTAGAGTGTGGGATGATAGATTATTATAGAGTCTTGGAAGGGCAAGGGGTAGATTATGAGAAATTTCTTAGGTACAATGTGTATGATTTGGGTGACAGGTACCTTAGAAGGCCCTACAACCTACCCATGTAACAAAATTACACTTGTATCCCTTCTAAACACCCCCCATCTAATTATTAGCACTGGCATTCCACTTCACTATTAAGACTACACCTATTTAGCCAGGCATTGTGGTGGGAGCCTGAGGCAAGAGAACTGCCTAAGCCCAGGAGTTGGAGGTTACCGTGAGCTGTGTGATGCCGCAGCACTCTACCCAGGGCGATAAAGTGAGACTCTGCCTCTACAAAAATTAAAAAAAAAAAAAAAAAAGGTTTGAACAGCATTGTCTCTGCTATGTACTTTTTTTTACTGCTGTGGAATTAGATGCAGAATATGGTAAGCGGAGGAAGAAATAAAACTTCTACATTACCTATACATTCTTAGGTATGTGATAAAGGAGGGTGAAGTAATGACACAAAGATTATTATCAATTGTGCAAGTGCTTGGATGCTTCTATACCAAGATGAGTATAAACCATGTCATGGGTCAGAGAAACTTTTGGGAATGTGATGAAAGCTATGACCTTCCAAAAAGTCCCATAAAACTGTTTATGTGTAAATATGGCCCCCCACAAATGCCTTCATATAACTTCTCTGGGATATATAGCTTCTGAATCCTGTACACATACCTCAGATTAAAATCCCCAGCTACAGACTATCTTTGCTGTTTAATGCCAAGCAAATATTCATGCTTGTGCAGTAACAGGCTAAGGCATAAATTTCACTATGTTAACTCTTTATTTAAGACTGATTTATGAATGGAAATTTTTGCTTTCTATGACTGGAAATTAAAGCATGAATTTGGTGCCTAGTTCAGGTTGCTCTTTAGGATTGAAAAGTATATTTTTTGTGGTTTGTTCTAGAAAATTATCTATGTGAAACAATTAAAAAAAATCAGCATTCCACCAAGGGATATCATTTTAGCAAAATGAATTTAAAAGGAAACATTCCACATGGAAAACTTCTACGTCTACTTTGACTGGCAATCAATATTAAACATGTTACTAGAGAAAAAAAGCTCATAAATACCTAGAAGTTATAAAAATCTAACTTAGCAACCTATTACCTATACAGTTTGATCTCTGATATAGGTTATCTCATTCATAAGTATTAGAGAAACAAGGTTACAAAGAAGGGAGAATGGCTTAGGCAAAAAATTACTGAACATCATGTGAATTAAAAATACTTCACAACTACCACATGTACTCGCTAATAAACTGGAAGGCAAACGTGTGCACAGAGGGAAGTACAAGTCATTTGAATTCAACTGGGGGGAGAGGGAAAGAGAGAAGGGCCAAAAACTCACCTAATGGGTACAAGGAACACTTATCTGGGTGATGGTCTTATTTACAGCCCTGACTCAAGCCTTGTATGAAAAATGTTTGTACTTCTTTAATATTTTGAAATAATAATTAAAAAAAAAAACCTTACATACTTCTCTACTTAAATCAGTAGACATCTCTTAACTAACTAGGCTGGGAACAAAAATCATTTTTATATCATTTTTAACAGCCTCCAAAACACAGCTGACTTAATTTAAAAATCAATGATACCCATTCTCGTAAGTCCTTTTTTGTGTCTGGATCACTAATAGGTGAACTCTTAACAGAAATCAGAGCTAATGTCTGTTTCAATTCTTAGGGCTTTATGGCCAATGTTATCTCTCAACTTAAAAAATTATTCTTAGATGAGGTGTATGGCACAGCTTCTGGGGGTGCAATACAATTATTAAAGGACTTTATCTAACAAATGCAATCAGTATAAGGTAATTCTTTGTACCCTTCTATGAATCCCAAACAATAAAAAAAGAAAAAAAAAGTTATTCTTCGTGTTAAGGCATGTGGAAAAGTTAAAAAAAGAAGTTTAAGAAAACTCAATTAACAAAGCCCTGTGGAAGTGGCTCATGGCTGTAATCCCAGCACTCTGGACAGCCAAGGCAAGTGCACTGTCTGAGTTTGAGACCAGACTGAGCTGGCTGGGCGCATGCAGGCTGAGGGGTGCTGAGGGAAAAGAAATCGCTTGAGCCCAACAATTCGAGGTTGCTATGAGCTATGACACCACAGCACTCTACCAGGGGTGACAATGTGAGACTCTGTCTCAAAAACAAACAAACAACAAAATAGGTCAATTAATAGTTCTTTCCCAGAGAACGTTTAATATATACGTTTATATACTCTCAGCTGCAGAAAAACAGAGGAACCCCAATTTTTCAGGAATCAAAAACCAAATTGTCCTGTTTCTTCTTGGGGATGCTACATATTGTGGCACATCCTCTTATCTTGCCTCTTTTTCTTTTCTTATTCAAGGGCCCCTTAATTTATCAGAGCTGGAAACTTCAGTTACCACACAGTAGACTTAAATGTCAAAGAGGCATTTTCATGTTACATGAACTGTACGTGTATGAACTTATGATGTAGGATATAGAATGTCACTGTGACAGTCTAAAACTACTCACTTTCAAAACTGAAAAACTACTGGAAGTTTGTTCGAAAAATGGATCAATAAATATTAATACAAACTTTTTTCCCCACATGTATGAATGAACTACTACCACAGCAGCTTCCTTGTTGGGCGGGCTCCAAGCACTGGCCCCTTTAATCCACAGTCCTTTACTCTTCCACTAATGACTGCAAATTTATATTTGCTTCTCTCTATTAGCCCTTTCCTGCTTTGCTTGAACCTCACTTGTTGGGGAAAGTCTCTCCTTACATCTCAATAAGATAAATTTTTTCTTTTCCTTCTGTTTTTGAAGACAGTTGTCACTTTGAGTGCTTGGCATCATAGCTCACAGCAACCTCAAACTCTGAGGTTCAAAAGATCCTCCTGACTCAGCCTCCCCAGTAGCTGGGACTACAGGAGCCCAACACCTTATTTGGCTAATTTTTCTATTTTTGGTAAAGACTAGGTCTCGCTATTGCTTAGGCTGGGCTGGCCTCGAATGCCTGAGGTTAAGCAATCCATCCTCCTCGGCCACCCAGCCAAATTTCTTTTCTTCCTTTTTAAAAAAAAAATTTATTGTTGCGGATTCCTTGAGGATACAAGAACCAGCCAAATTTCTTACTTCACATTCTCCTATCTCCATGTATTGCAGCGCTGTCAGTGTTGCAATTTCACATTCACATGGGGATCTGTTTTGTTTAACCTCTGTCTCACTAAGCTTAAGGTCTAGGAAGGCCCAGTTGTTTCACCTGGTGGGCGTTCAAAACAAGCAAAGTACCTTCTAACGCGTTAAAAGACGAAACTAAGGCACAACAAAATGTAAAAATAGCATGCAAAAAATTCTTTTAGAAAAGGAAAGGCCTCGTTTCAGAATTACTAACTACAGACATACAAATGGGAAGCGCAGTTCTGACGCGCAGGGTGAATCCGTCTACTCAAAACTCCGGGAGCCGATGGGGTCTCAAGGAAACAAGAGACACCGGCAGGGAATTCAAAAAATCGAGGCCGATTTTCAACAGCGGGTTGGAAGAGAGCTCGAAATGTCTACTGGACTCGCACAGAGACCTCAGGGTGAGGAACCCTGAGCATTCTGGTTCCGCCGCACTGGGTCACCTCTTTCTCCTCCCCATCTCAAGCATGAGGATGGAAAATTCATACACAATCCGGTTCAGCATCCGGGTCCTCACCCTCCTTTCTTTCTTTCCTCTCGGCCCCGCCTCCCAGTCACCCCCTACACCCGCCCTCCTTCCCATCTGGGTTCCCCCCCCCCCCCCGCCGCCACTACCGCCGCTCACGGTTCAACGATGATATCACGACTTTCTCGCCGCCAGTGCAGGAGTAGCAGTACCCAGCATCAGCTTCCTACTTTATACTTCACACTAAAGCTCCTCCTGACGCCTACATGAATCCCTCCCCCTACTTCACCCGAGAACTCTCCGCCCTCCTCGGCAGCCAGCGACGCCGCATTACTCGGTGCGAGAAAATGCGCCATCCCGGTCACACTGCGCAGGCGTCGTTGCCGCCTCCCCACTGCTTTGTCGCCCCTCCCCTTTGCCCTCCCCTATTCCATCGCACGCAGTCGCTCAGCATTGTGGGCCTTGTAGTTCTTCTTGGAGAGAGTTAGCGTATTGGCCCCAGAGGCTGGACCACATTTCCCTGAAAGCTTTGAGGCGTAACTTTCTGTTTCCATAGAACTGGGTGAAAATGGCGTCGTTGTTTGTATCCAGAGGACCAATAGAAACGGGGTATGGGCGGGTTCTAAAGAATCCGAACCAATCCGAGGTCGCCTAAGAGGCCATCCGGGACAGAGCTAGGGGAGGAGAAAAAAATCTAGGGGAGGGGAGAAAAGAGAGAAGGGGGGGGACCTGGGGTGGGGGGCAAGCGATGTTTGCCCGTCAGTCGGGTCCGGAGTGAGGAGCTCGGGCGCTGGAGGGGAGGGAGACTCCTGAGCTTAAGCTTACCGCCGCCACGGCCACCGCTTGGGCCTTTGCCTGGAGGGAGCCGCAGAGGGTCCATCGCTGCCGTCCTCTGGAGGGCAGCGCGATTAGGGGCCTGGACCTCCAGTCCGGGAGGGATTTTTCGTCGTCCCCCCTCCCCCCAACCAGGGAGCCGGAGAGCGGCCGCCAAACAAAGGTACCAGTCGCCGCCGCGGGAGGAGGAGGAGCCGTAGCCTCAGCCTCAGCAGCCGCTGGACCCACCGCCCTTCTTCCCAGTCTCTTCACCCAGGCCTGCTGGTTTTGGGGGGGAGGAGGAGAAGGGATTCTGGACGTGCCAGGGTCAGATCTCGCCTCTGAGGAAGGTAGGGACGTTCTCCGGGGCTTTCGCGGTTTCCTAAGGGAGCCCTTTTGGGAGTCACTGGGCACGGCCGGGGAGCAGGGGAAGGTAGTAGTGGTGGTCTCGCCAGCGCCCGAATTCTGGGCCTCGGCCTCTCGGGAGCCCCCGCCCCCCCTCCAGCTTTTGCGGTGTCCGAGCCGCCCCCTGGTCGGGTGGCCGCACACTCAGCGGCTTAGGGGCCTCAGTGGGGGGCCCCGGCGGATGGGGGGCCGTGCCGCCTCCTGGGCCCTCGGCTCTCGGCGTCCCGGTGGCGGCGGCAGATGTTGATCCCGCTCCCACTTGTCGGGTCTCCATTCGCAACGGGACGTGGGCAGAGGCTCTGCGGAGGGTCGGTCCTGCTCGCGGCCCTGAGGCCCGCCTGGCCCCTCGACGGCCCCCGGCCGGGCTCCCGCCCTGAAGCGGAGCGGTGCGGCCGTGGGGGCCTGGCCGGGCGCGGAGGCCCGTGGAGAGGGCGGCCGGCCCAGCGCCGGACTCCGGGCTTGTTGTGAGTTTTTTCTCTGACAGAAATGGCGTCATTGTCGGAGACGGGAAACTCCGTCTGGTCCCGACAATGGGGACTGGAAGCCGCCGAGCTCTGTAGGTGGCTGAGTTTGCGGGGATGGCGAGGCGGGAGGGAGCCCCGAATCGGCGTGTGATGAGGGTTCGGGGGCTGACGCCCTGCGCGGTTCGCTCTTCGGGGTTCGGTCTTCGCTCAGTTCCTCCCCTCCGCCTCCGCCAGTGCAGAGGGGTGCCCGTGGTGTTGTTGACAGGGTGTCTTTTGTTTCCTCTCCAGGTGCAGGTGAACCCGGTGTTTTCGAGGGTGTATCGGTCCCAGAATCATCATGAAGGTAAGATAGCCTTCGGAAAACGAACCTCTGAGGTTAAAGAGTGCAGGAAGTAAGGGGCAAAGGGGTTTGGACGAGGTCGCTGCGTGAGGCCTCCAAGTTGTGCAGAGGAAGGTGTGTTTGGTGGCTTGGTGACCGAGCCCTTCCCCGGGAGAAGTGGGGGTCAGCTGGCGTGAATAATCACGAGTTTTGCTGTGGAGTTGGAGTCAGTAATAGGGTATCTCACTGGAGGTGATTCTCCTGTGTGTACATCGTCTGTTTTTGCAGAGAATGCGAGGAATAACTGCATGGATTGTAGTGTTTTAAAGGTAAAATAAAAAGCAGGTCAAGTAATCTGAATCTAGAAACTGAACTGTATTGTGGTGCTCTCAGTTACACTGATGAAAGAAAATCTCTCAGTACTGTGAAATTTTAGCAGAAACCGTTAGATTAGCTGCAAAAATAATCTTAGTTGAAAGACTTTGAAAGAGAATTTTGGAGATCTGTATACCATTCACAGATGGCAGTTCCTTGTATCTTCCAGGGACTTAGGGTTGTATGTTTTATTTTTCTTTATTGATCTAGTTGGTTTGCAAATTTGCTAAGTTCCTATATCAGTTTCATGTAAATGGGTGTTTCAAGAATGAGTCCTTTTTTTTAGACACAGATCCTAGCTAAAACTCATTAATAAAAGAGTGAATGAAAAGTGATTTTTATTAGGTAAGCTATCTGCTTTGGTGTTGGATGAGAATTTTTTAAGAAAAGTGTTGAGTTCAATAACACATAATAAGTTTGGGAGCTTAATAAATACAGAGTTTAGTTCGGAAGCAATGTTGTAAGTTGTCACCGTTTCCAGTGTACTACTTGTCACATCTTAAGTACTCTGTGTTTGCTTAAAAGAAATGTAGTAGTAAGTTGTAGGCCCTTTAGATTTAAATTTTCTTTTTTTTCTTTCTTTCATTTCCCTTTTTTGAAAAAAAGCTTGTCTGCTTAGAAAAATGAAAGTGCATTGGAAACTTCAGTTTAAAAGTTTTAGGGTAACTAGAAGGCAAATGCAGGTTTTTTTGCTGTTATTTTGGAAGTGCTGTTTGTAAGTGCTCATCATTTCCATTCTTAGTGCCTTTTTTAAAAAGGCACTATTTAATGTTAAAAGGAAAAAGTTACTAACATACGGTTCTCACTTTATACAAGAAGAACTTCCTGTTATTGTAAGTACAGCAAATCTTCTCTTAGGGAATCAGCTAGTAATCTTTAACGCTCAAAGACTTGGCTTATCTCTTACAACTTAATTTATTGTATGGTAAAAGATGAGATGCTATTCATGATTTGTATTTGCTTTAGCAAAATTTGCAATTCATAATGTTTTTAGTGTTGATTATACTGGGCTTAAATTTTCTTTTTCATGTGTCCTCACTTTCTATTTTATAATGACAGTTGAGCTACTGAAGGACTTATGCCTCTATTGGATCTTCCCAAACAGATTTATACTTTGAAACAAGTTTATAGCTTTGAATTATCTTATTATTGACAAAAATTTCTTAAGTTTTGTTAAGTGACAGAGTAGTGAGATAACTGCCAGAGTATTTAGTAAAAAGGTAGTACTTTCTGG